ACGTGACGGAGCTGTCCTGTACCCCAAACCATGGTCAGCACAGCTCTCAAGGGGCTGAAATGTTTCTGCTTACTGTCATTGGATGGAAGGCACAAACAGCAAAGAGAAACTGCTCTGGGGAACAGGAAGCCAATGTCTGGGTCAAGAGTTGTGTGATTTAGTGGGAATTTCTACATAGTCATTAGTAACATGGATCTGGGGAGTAGACAGAGCCAGGCTTGATACCAGGGTTGTGTGACTCTGGGCAAGTCCTGAAGCTCTCTGAGGCTTGCTTCTCTCTCTCTAATACACCCTTGTTCATGGAGGTTTTTTGTGAGCATGAGTATAGACCTCATTTGTAAGGCTCCTCGCACAGGGCCTGGGACACAGTAGCAGTTCTTATTCTTAATAGATTTTTCAATCTTACAACTTCTAAGGAATGACCCAGTTTCTTAATCATTCACCTAGGATTTTCATAGTCAGCGAATCATTCTTAGTCATATAATCCCAGATGAGCCTCACAGAATCTCTATGAAGTAGGCATCTCCTCCACCCATTTTAAATGAGAAAACTGATGCCCAGTAACTTAACCCAAGTCCCTCAACTACACAAAGGGGTCACCAGACTCTAGAACCTGTGGTCTTTCATGCATACCAAGTTACCTGGACCCTCCATCTCCACCAAGTCCATCTTAATACAAAGGATGGGGGGAGAGCCTTCAGGTGATAAAAATTTAATCAGTGGTAGGCTGTGTTTCCTATGGAATCGCTACGGCAGTGTTAGGCCCTGGCACGGATGCAGGGGTGAGGAGAACTGACATTTAGTGAGCACCTTTTATGTGCCTCGGACTGTGCTCCTCTGTCCTTAAAAATAACCCAGAGGAGGCAGATGCGATGTCACCAGTTGGCAGCTGAAACCACAGAGATAATCAGAGGCCATGCTGGCCTTTGAGCCCAGGCCTGCCTCTCTGCCCTGCCTCTCCTCACTCCTCACCATGCAGCCTCTCCCAAGCCAGAGTCATCCAGTGGCTAGCCCTAAGAAGTGCCTGGGGAGACCTAGGATCCAAGATGGCAGGTAATTTCTTAGTAGGATCCAGGGCAGGATTGCTCCCCTTGGAAGAACTCAGAAGCTGAAGATAGCTACTGTTGGCTTCACGTTCTGTCGCCGGTGTGAGGACCCAGACAGCTGGGGGCGGTGGGGAGGGCGGGCCGGGGGCTGGAATTCAGCCACATCCACTGGTGACGGAGGACTTGGGAAGGCAGGTACTGCCCTGAGCACTGAGGAGCAGCTGCTTCTGCCACCGCCCTAGTGTGGGAGGTGACTGGCCTGGCACTCGGGGCTGCGTCCCCTTGGGTTATGAGACACTGAAGAGGCAGGTGGCTGAACCGAACTGATCCTCCTGGGCCTGGAAGTCAGAGAGGCCTGTCGTAGTCTGACTCACAGTTTGGACGCTGCTTCGCTGTGTGACGTGGGGCCGTATGCCTACCTTCTCTGAGCCTTGGTTTCATCATCTATAAAATGGGCTGCTCTACCTCCATGGTGGGGTTATGAGGTCATATATTTGTAGTACCTAGCACAGTCCCTGGCAAGAGGTGGACACACACAGCCAAATTCTGCCCACCCCAGTACCTTCATTCAAAGCAGGGTCACCTTGGGGCTGATTTGGGAGCCCTAGAAGTTCTGTGCTTCCTAGGCCTTGCGTTCCCTGGTGCCCCAGGTCTGTTCATTCTGAGTGCCCTCACGCAAGCATTTCCAGTGGGCACTCCTGCACACTAGGGGTGAGCCTGGGAGATGTGGAGTATGGGTCCCATAGCTCCGAGGGCCTCAGAGACCATGGCCTGACAAGCTCCCATGTCAGGAGCCGCTGGCCCCTCGCCGGGCTTTGCTGGGTCACTTAGCCGCAGGCACTCTCAGCAGAAGTGTGGCCATCAGCCCAGGCCAGTGGGAGCGTGGGGGCCAGCATTCAGCCTTTCTGGAAGGAGCTTTGTAGCCTGGCACCTGTCGCTGGAGTTCAGATGTGACCAGAGGATTTAGATTTTCTTTGTAAAGGGAAGAGAAAGGAAAGAGCAGAAGAAAGCCTTGCCAGTGTCTGTGGACTCAGGGGAGTGGGCTGGGGCATGCAGGGGAGAGGCAGGCTGTGGTCGGCCACATGTGAAGCGCTTTATAAGCTCTGTATTTATTATTTCTTGCTCACCATTAAAATCAAATGTACTCGGTGCTTTTGTATTCAATACACATTTAACCCTGCCGACTTGGATTTCTCAGGTTTTAAATCCAGTGGGGAATTGGCTGGTTTCCCAACTTTCCCCTCAAGTCCCCCTTGAACAGAGCTCCAAATCCCTGTTTAGCATTTTCTCCCCAGCGCGGCTGGGATCGGAGTGCTGGTGCGCCAGTCGCGTTGTGTGTGTGCGTGGTTTCTTCCCTAATCCCAGCCCCCACCCCTCCTAAGCACCCCGGAAAGACAGATCTGATCACTGAAATATGACGGGCCAGTTGTCTGCATCGTCTTGTGATTCAGGCTTAATTAAATCATTTTGTCTGTGTGTGTCTGTGCCTGGTGTGGCTCTAGCTGTACGTCTGTGGCCGAGTGTGTGTGTGTGAGAGAGAGAGAGATCCATGCATGGGCCTTCTCCTCCTGTGCATGCCTCTGCGAGTATTTGTGAGACTGTGGGTCTGTTGGCATCTCCATGCCTCCGTGCATGTCTCTGGGTGGTTGTCTCTCCATGAGTATAATTTTGCGTCTGCTTTGTCCACACCACTCAGACGTGTGTGTGACTCTGGGTGTGTCTACAGCCGTGCGGGTGACTGTCTCTGGGTCTGCCGAGCCTTTCTCTCCCTCCCCCGCCTTCGCTGCTGCCCTCCCCCTCCCACCCTTCCCTCTCCCGCTCTGTCTGGTTTATCATCCCTAATGAAGCAGTCTTCTCCATCGATCCTGCTGATTGCCAACCCATTCCTTTTGTTTGTTGGCGCTGAGCCATTCAGCGGCACTCTGACAGCTCAGCTCGTCTAATTAGCTCTGTTGTTCTTTTTCCCCATGTTTCACCACGTTGCAAGTTCAGTTGAAGTTGCCACAAACTTAATCCCCCCATTTCAGCCACAAGTTCACATTCCTAACCCACCTCTATTGTACGAGGAGCAGCTGCGGGCAGGGACAGGCGAACGGGCCTTACTGTCTGACCTTCCTGAAGCCCCCACCCCAGGACCCCGGGGCAAGGCAGCAGTCGCCCCAACTGCATGCCCTCTTTGTGGTGCAAAGTCAGGTGCAAACCAGGTGATCCTGCTTACCGGCTGCCGGAGGAGTCAGGCTCTGGGCCGGAAACCAGTTCAGGATTAGCACTGGTGGGGGATGGATCCACACTTGTACTCAGCAACCAGTGACTGGATGTCTACTCCGTGGAAGGCACTGTTCTAATAGCAGTGATAATAATAGCAACATTATTATGCGCTTCTTAGATTCCAAGCAGCAACATTCATTTCAAAAAATCCGGCTGAGGGGGTCACTAAACCAGGCATGGAGCGGAGTGCTAGGCAAGAGTGAGACCATCCTAAATCCATCTTCTAATAGAGAGACACCCCCTGTCTTCCTTCTGTTATTGATAAGGTCGCAGGGAAACACAATGAGCTTGTATTGAGCCCCCACTGTGTGCCAGGCCCCAGGCCAGTGCTTTGCCTACATGAGCTCGTTGGATCGTCACAGTAACCCCACAGCAGACAGCAAGTTCGGTGGAATGCACTTGGCTTTTACCACATCTCTGATTTGCCAAACCAGGCTGACATCAGACTGGCTGTTCCGCAGGAAAAACTCTGGTTAAATCAGATGTGAGGAGGCCTGAGGGCCTGATGAAACTCAATAAAGACTTGTCTCTTATGCAGCCAAGTTCTGTAACCTGTATTCTGAGGCCATTGTGTTGTGTCGCCCAGCAGTGCGGGGTTGGGGGCTGGGGGAGGTTCCGGAAGAGGGCGCAGCGTTTGGAGCATGCCTGTGCTCTCCTTCTCTGTCTTGTCCACTGACCTCAGCAACCGTGGCGTTGCCTGCATTGGTCCCTTGTCTGCAGAGCAGGGCAGCCCCCACACTGGGCTGCTCGGTCCTTCTTACTGGCAACAAAATTCACAGATAAGCCCTCTCCAGTCCTCCTCTGGCGTTGTACGGAGATGGTGGTGCCAAATTTAAAGCCAGCTAGTGTTGACTGGCCCAAATGAGTATTCTTCAAGGACACCTAGAAATTCTGAGCCTAACTCTCATCACCGGCTCTAGTAGGAGAAGGGAGTGTCTTTTTATACGATCCCTCATCTTAGCCTTCAGAAGCCGTATATAGGGGAAAAAACCACCATGTCGCTGCAGTCTAGCTGTGGACCAGGAGGCTTGCACTTCACTGTCAGTACACCCAGCTCCGGCCCTTGAGCTGGTCTGTGTGGTGAGTGCAGCGGCCACACGGACTGTATGAGGGTCCAGACCAAGCCCTGCACAGGGCTGCCTGGGGGAGCAGAAGGAGGACTTTAATTGGTGCCCTAATACTGTTAGTATTTGCTTCTCCACCCTCCCACTTAGAGAGGAAAATGAGCATCCTGTAATTCAGCTGTAAAAAAGAACAAAACAGGCACGTGTGCCCTAAACACAAAGTCTGAGTGAAACCTCCTTGTTCTCCCAAACCGGTTTCCAGGTTCCAGGAGAAGGCAAGCGGGACTTAGCATTAGGGCCTCTTTGTTCCAGGTCATGCCCAGACAGTGTCTCACTGAGCCCTCAGGGCAGCCCCGCGAGGAAGCAGGTGGAACCACCCGCTGGGTGCAAATCAGGACACCCAGCCCTTCAGAAGAGCCTTTCTCCTTTGAGTAGGCCACAGATTCCAGTTCACAGGTCAGCCACCACTTCAACAGTCTCCATCATAAGCACAGCCTTGGAGTCTATGCTCTGAAAATCCCCCAGTGTTCCTTTTAGGGCTGCTTACCTGCATCTTGAAAATGTCCTTGAATGGCTTTTCCAACTCAGCCCTTCTTGGGGATTTTCCCCATGCCCATTCTAGGTGCGCCCTCCCCGTCCACACGTCATTAAAAGACCGAAGAGCAACATCACAGTGGAAGCCCGAAGGACGTCCGTCTCCAGCCCCGACCAGTGAGTACCCCGTCCTCCTCTCCCCTTGGTCCGCAGGAGCCCAGGGGGCCAGTGCTTTGTGGAGCCCACGCGGCAGCCCTGGCCTTTGAAGGGCTTCCCCAGAGCCCTGAGCGGGTGTTTCACAAAGAGGTCGGTCGGGGAGCAGGGCTTGATCTTCAGTGTCGGTTCTGCTGGCAGTTGTCGCACCAGCGGGAGGCCCCAGAGGCCAGGAAGCCGGGCACTGGGCTGGGTTTTGAGTGGTGACACCCACGGGGTACTCAGACAAGCTCAGAAAGTGGTTCTTGGCTTTTTCTTACGCTAAAAATAGAGGGTCAGCAGGAGAGAGTTAGGAACCCGGTTGAGGAGGCTACCTATTTAACGAGGGCCAAGACCCATGGAATCTGGTGGGCTACAGTCCTTAGGACTGCAAAGAGTCGGACACGACTGAGCGACTCATACACACACCACCTTCCTAGGCCTGGCCTGCTCGAGGGAGATACACCCAGGGCTATCCTCATCTACTGCCCCCCCACATCAGCACCTCTGCTCACCTGTGTCGTAGTGTTTAGCTTATTATGAATCTGCTTTTCTAGCTCTCCTTGGGCCCAGAGCTCCTCAGGACAGGCGCTGGGTTTCATGCACCCTAGCAAGCAGAGGACCCGGTTTAGAGTCATTCTCTGGGCAGACGTTGGGTAGATGGGGGGAACGCCAGGGCCAGAGGTGAGCGGTGTGAATGTGAGAGGCTTAGTGCTGTGCACGGCCCCGGCTTCAGAGCTGTCTGGAGAAGGTAGCACTTCTTCCATCAGAGGATGCTGTCTGCCCTTGGCCCCCAAGGTGCACAGCCCCTGGTCTCTGCCCGAACAACTCAGCAGCTTCCCATGATGCCCTGAAAAGTACATGAATTCACCTCGGGTTGTTGGAAGAACCAAAATCATTGCCCCTGGGACCCTGACATCTCTTGGATGAAGAGGGCAGTGCTCCTCATGGCTACCCTGTTTTCAGAAAAGTTCTCAGAGAAGGAAGTTGAGGGAGATGGCAGGTCCTAGCAAGAATAGGAGCCAAAAGGAAGCAGTAATTCCCAGACGCCGGGCTGGGGCCTAGCCCGCCTGCCATCCCACGTCAGTTCTTCAGGATTCTCTGGTGTATAGTTCAGTATCACTGGAGACTGTGGTGTGGTTACAGAACCAGCCTACCTAGACGGCCCTCAAACCTGTGTGTCTGTGTGTCTTGGGAGATGCGTGGTGATGGAGAAATTGGAAGAGAGGACTCCAGAAGTCGGGTATAGGTTTAACTTGGGCTGTGCACAATGGGAATGCAGATTGTTTCCCTGCCATGGATTATGATTGCCCCCTTGTGGAGAAAACGCAGCTTGGCTTCAGAGTGCCTCAGAGCCCAAAGATTTCTCTTTAGGGGGAGGAAATGCGTCACTTTTCTTTAGAGTCATCTCTTTAAAACTGGACTAAATATTTTATTATCCAGTATGTGATATTTTATGTACTGGATAGAGGGTCATGGGCCTGGAGATATTGAAATACAAATCCAGAATATCCTTGCATTGTACCAGAAACACTCCACACTGACACTTGCAGTCTACCGAAAAGCATTACCCATTTGTGGCCAAGTTCCCGATTAGAGCTCGGACCTCCCCACCACATGTATTTATGCTGTTGCTTTTCCAGCCCAGTGATAGGAGATTGCTTCGTCAGTATATGCAAAGAGCTAGTGTCTGGTACCCCCATCATTCTGGTGATTACCAGAACTAGGTCGGTACCACTTTGTGGGTGTTTTGTTTTATTGCAGTATGCTGGAGAAGGCAATCGCACCCCACTCCAGTACTCTTGCCTGGAAAATCCCATGGAGAGAGGAGCCTGGTAGGCTGCAGTCCATGGGGTCGCGAAGAGTCGGACACGACTGAGCGACTTCACTTTCACTTTTCACTTTCCTGCATTGGAGAAGGAAATGGCAACCCACTCTAGTGTTCTTGCCTGGAGAATCCCAGGGACGGCGGAGCCTGGTAGGCTGCCTTCTATGGGGTCGCATAGAGTCAGACACGACTGAAGCGACTTAGCAGCAGCATTGCAGTATGCCTTGTTCTAGATTTATTTGGGGGAAACATTTGAGGTTGAAATGAACCGGTGGGGCAGGGGTGGCTAGTTTAGTGGGCTGGCAAACTGGCAGTTATAGAAAACAAATGACAGGTTCTCTGTGATCACACATAGCAGTGACCTTGGTCCCCCAGGAGATAGGGAGGTGTATTTTAGAACATCATTCCAAGGGTTTCAGTCCACTTTCTTTTTATGGGGGGAGGGAGGGCAGGGCTGTATTCCTATAACGCCAGTGACATTTCTGGTGTGACCCGGGTGTTTCCCTGCGTCTCCTCCCATGCTGCCTTCTCCCTGCCCCCACCCCCCGTTGTGCTCCACTTCCAAATGCCATGTCACAACAGCACTTGGATGTGTTTTTCTCAACTGTCATCAGCTCCAGCTGGCAAGACCAACTTCTTGAAACACAGGAAGCATCCAGCGGAAAATATTTTAATAAAACAGACTCCTCATAAAATGTTGTTTTGGGGGGAAGAACCAGCCCCCCCCCAGTCTGTCAGCATTGTGTTGGGAGACAGGAGAAGACAAGCCGGCGGGCAGGAGCCGCATCCTAATGGGGCTTTGTTGCGGGTGGTTCAGTGCTGGGCACACGGACTCGGTGCCTGGCCCTTTAATCTGGCCTGGATTCTCTTGAATCACGATCTTTGTCTCTGCTAGGAATATCAAAGTGCATCAGAAACTTGGAGGATTTGGGCCGCAGAAAGAGACACAGGATCTTTGAGGTGGAGGGCAGGATTCGGTCCTCCTGACTTCTTGCCCCAACTCTCACTTCCAGAAAGCACATTAAATAATTAACTGTGTGGACCACAAGACGGAGCTGATTAAGAATAAGTTGGTCTCCACGGCCTCCTATAGCAGCTGGCATCTGGAATTCATCGAGGCCTGGTAGCACTGCCGGCAGCTCTGGCCACTGCCTCCATTGAAGTCCATTTTTTTGCTTTCCAACTCATGTCCATTCTTGCATCCGTTCATTCCTCAAACATCTTCAAAAGCCTACCAGGTGTGAGCTTCTTAGGATTTTAAAGGATGCCCTAAAGGGAATCCCATTGCTAAACTTTGTTGACTTGCATTTTCCCAAAGCAAAATGTTTCCCATGTTAAATTTTCTTCCCCAGTGAAAAGTAGGTGTCCTAGCCCCTCAAAAATTTGATAGCGATTGGAAGAATCCTTTAGGAAGTCTTCTGGGGATAACATTTCCCTCTGTTTTTCAGTTAACATTAGCTCATTAATATTCAGTGATGACTTCTCAAGAAGTATTAGCTACTTACATTATTATTCACAGCAGGACTGATGGTATGCCCCAAGGATCCCCTAGGGTAAGTGTTCAGATTTTGAGGGATCGGACGGAATGGGCTGTGGGTCAGAGGCCAGTTGACAGCAAGTACAGTGGAGCTCCTGATGTGTTCTAGGCCCTCTTAGGCATCCCTTCCACAGAATGGGAACTCAGGCTCAGAAAGTGAATGAACCAGGTTTGCAGGTCACCCAGTTAGAAAGCAGCAGGGCCAGGACTCCCAGTGCTGCTCAGGTTCAATCTCTCAGTTTGAACCCCCCCCAAGGGGGTCCAGTGTTCGCCTAACTTTGCCCAAAGAGCTCCGTGTCCTAAGGTGTCTTGTCCTGCACACTACCTTCCTCTCTGCTTCCCTGGGGTCAGGAACCAGAGCTGTTCAGTCCTCTTCCAGCCCAGGAGGCAGTGTTCTTTGGTGGCTGAGTGTTTCCATCTGGGGAAGAAAAGGGAAGTAACATTTACTGAACATCCCTGAAGATCGTGAAGGGTGGGTAGTGACTTTCCCATTGAACAGATGGGGAAACTGAGGCTTGGAGAGAGGCTTTCCATAACTTGCCCAAGTTTTGGGGGCTGGAAAATGGAGAGATCTTCTCTCTAATGACAGACCTGGTCCTTTCTTCTGCAGCGTCCAGCCCTTTTTGTTAAGAACCTAATTATGACTATGAGGATGATGGCGGCTGCAGTAGGCACACTGAGGTCATAGCTTCTCACCCTGTTAAGGGTGGGCTTTGCTTTTTTCAGCAGGAGTGTGCATGGCTCCCAGGCCCCAGCTTATCTTCCCTCTGGGTTGCTAGATATGGGGCGATTTCCCATTCATCATGAGGCTTAGAGTCGCTAGCAAGCTGTAAAAGGCAGCACTGTGCTCAGTACTGCCCGCCCCTCAGGACCACACACAGCAAGCAGAGGCCAAAGGAAGGGAATGACCTACTGGTCCCCAGGTGCCTCTCTTTCATTCGAGAAATTTCATTCTGCTGTGAGAGTTGGGAGGGAGACAGTTACGAGCAGTCTCCACCTTTTTATAAATCTTCACAATAACCTGGAAGGGTAGGGCTATCTTCTGAGTCCTAATGGTGACAGAGCTTGTGCTCATTGTAGATCGGAGACGTGCCCAGTCCTGGCCAGCTGCAGAGACCGAGCTCTCTCAGTGCACACCTTGTCCCCTAAAGGTGACACACAGAACACCCTGCAGTCACCTGAGTCTTGACTGGCTGTAGGCTGGTTATTTGGAGTTCCAGATAAGTAAGTGAGAATAGTCCATGTTCAGCCATCAGGGGCCTGTAAGCCATTCCCTGTCATTTCTCTGGCCAGATCCATGTAAAAAACTGCTCTTTGCCAGTAATTTTCTTTGTTTGTAAAAATAACCCAGTAACCTTATAGGTGATCTGGAAGTTAAGGAAAAGAGACAAGTTCATTCCCAATCCCACTACTTCAGTTCAGCCACTTATTAGCATTTCTGCAGATTCCCATTCAGTCTTTTTTCTAGATATATCTTGCAGAGCTGCCAGCCTCCTTGCAATATCCCATTGTACACTGGACTTCCAGGAAAGTCTGTCCTTAGCCACTCTGATAGGCCGATATCCGCATGTCCTTGTTAGCCCCATGGTGACCACAGAAGATCCCACTGTGTATATCTAT